AGACAAGCAGCTACTTTTGTAGACTTGAGCCTGTTTGTCACTCTATACTTTATTTACTCGTCTGTTGAAAAGAAACATAAGTGCCTCATAAGTTTGTGGTGAAAGCAAAGGTAAAAAGCAAATTGAGACAGTGGAACTAAACACAGAAGTAACTGACAGTGTCCTAACAGTATAATAATAGAAAATAGGAGCATATTTATGTCCTAACCAAATCATACTTTGTACAAGATTTTGCAGCTGTTGAAATCAACCAGAAAAGCAAGGGAAAAAACTCTGTGGGGGTGAGTGGGAGAAAGAAACTTGTGCTCTCAGCTGCAGTTTTTATGCACCAGAAACAGAATTCACCAACCCAAGCTCTGTACTTTCCTGGCATCAATAGTGAGTTGACAAGGGTTAACTGTCCTGGAAAATTTATGATTATCAAAACCTGTGTGCTAAACAGTAGGAAACACTGCATTCTGGGGTAAATTTAAATTTTCACTTCTTCCACAGACTTCAAAAACTAATGACTGTTTGCAAGACAGAATTCAGGCTGAAGTTGCTTTTCAGATTCAGAAGACAAAGTCACTACTTTTGTGACCACCAGGCTTAGTAAGTCAATTTTGTGACAGTTTGCCAGCTACAATAGAGGCCTAGGATTTCTAAGGAATAAATTCTCATCCTAAGGAGTTCATTTAAATCCATACCTCACTATCCCATGAGAAAGGTGTAATCTTGGGGCTAACCAGATGGAAGCACAGGCTTCACAGGACAGTGGAAAGAGAGCTCCATGACTATCCAATGGAACAATGATTCCCCCCTCACAGCACAGCTTTTGCTCTTTGTTCTGGACACCATGCATGCACAAAAATAAAAAAAAGGCCAACACCATCCCCAGTTTCTCCAGTAGAAGTGCCTCAGTCAGGAGGTTAAAGCAGCGCCCCTCACTACGCCAGCGCACATGTGAAATGAAGCCTTCTTGCCTTAGTTTACACATCATAAACCATTTCAGTAATACACCTGTAAGTATTACAGAGCATCTGTGACTAAGAGATGCTGCTGTTCAATTCAATTTTAAGTGAGGATATTTGAAACCAGGAAGCAGGGATGTGACGAACGTAAAAAAAAATACAAAATGAAGTTGAAATATATTAGGGGTTACTTCACTAGACTGCTCTCCTTTCAGTCACCACCCACAAACATGTATCACAATACCTACGTAGCAGACACTGGAAAACTGCTGCAAGAAATTTGGTACTTTTACATGAAGTTATGCTTCATATACTGACAGTGTATGCAGAGACAAAGGTAAAGCCTTACTGTAGCCAAACAGCATAGCACTACCTTTAGACAGGATGACATAACCAGGTTTGGGCAAGGATTACATCCTACTGGTGGCACTAAATTGTTGTTTTTCCTCCAAAGAAAACAAAAGTGAAATTAAAAGCTTTACCAGCATAACTTAGCATCCAAACACCCTGGTCTTGGAATTTTAACAAAAGATCAGACAAGATACATCACATACATAATATCCCAATGACAGAACAAAACCAAACAAACTTCCCCTCCAAAGCTAAACTAACTGCAAAAACTGAAACCAAAACTCAAGGACACCATACTGTTTTAAGGAATTTCTAATATTTCTTTTATAAAAAGGCAATAGAAATATCATATTCAATGTCCCATATTCTCACAGTATAGCAAGGAAGGCAGTCTTAGAAAGATTAAACTAGAGATAAACTATATTTTGTCCCTCGAGTCTACCATTTATGTCAATCTGTATTTTATGGAAATCTTGTTGCATCACATAACTCAGAACCTTTAAATGTACATTTATCCTTGAAACTCCACTTTAAATAATATGATAGACCAGAAGTAAATAACAATAACCCAAATATAAAAATCAAGCCTATCAAGTTCTCAAGTGAAAACATGACAGCTTTAAAAAGTTTATATGAAATGAAGGTTCATAGAGATGAATTATGTTTATAGAATTAGTGTAAAGTGATCAAAATCATTAATGTTGTCTGAAATCATAGCTGTATTATCTTCTCATTTTCAATTTTTCCTAAAGAAGAGCTTCTCTACTCAGAAACAGAATTTGCAGAACAAAAAAAAATTCTTATGTAACTTATTGCAGCACTATTTTCATGAAAAAAGTCAACTTAGTTTGTCATATAAGAATTTCTAGATAGCAGTAAAAAACATAAGTAAGTGCTTCTTCTAGGCACTGGAAATGACACAGTCCCCAGGGGACACTGTTCTACCATTGACAGAAACAGACTATTTTTTTGTTGTGGACTGGTTTTGAACAGCTTCTCTGCTTACTGCTGTCAGGATATCAATACCTCCTCCAACAGACTGCCGTCCCTCCTTCACTCCAGTGCTATGGCAAGCAGCTGAGGTGGTGGAAGAGGCTGACAGAGCCCTCATTCACAGGGAAGGCTGGCGATATTTGTTTCAGCAGTGAATGGGAAAGCTCAATTTATAAGTAGCCAAAACATCATTTTACCATGCCATCTCCTCAAAACCACCTGATGATCTGTAACATGAATTTAATTGTTCTTAAAAGAAGATGGCATATTTATAAACACTACTGTCAAGGTCAGAATGCCAACTAGACACTCATTTTACCTACGAAGGCAAAACCAGTTCAGCCTGTAACTAAATTATTGAAGACACAGACAGCTCCGTCTCTCTCCCATGGTCAGGACACACCACAGCAGTTCAACTGCACATTACGAGCATCATGTGCTGACTCTACACACATACCTTTGTAACCCAACACAATCTTAGAATATATAAGAAAAGTCTGCTGCAGTTTCAGTAAGGCTGACCTCTAAACTTGTGTTAAGTCACACAAAGTATCAAGAAATTGAATACCTCAAGGGCAAAGAATAACTGTGCTGAGTGTTTAAATTCTTGCACCTGCTACTAACTTAACAGGGAAAAAGAAGTTACAGTTCTACTAGGATACTATTTCTAATGCAGTCTTTTCTACTGTGAAAGAAACTACCCTAATTTCAAGGGTAGTCACAAAGAAATCTAACAATTTTCTTTATATTTCAGGGAGCTGAATTCAAACTCTTATTTCAATCCCTGTTCCTTGTAAGTATTTTGGGTTACAATGTGCAAATCAAAAGACATATGTAACCTAATTGCATTACTTGTCTGTACTTCAACCTTCCATCCTCACTGGATAATGACACTGCCAACATGATTTCAATACTTACCATGATAACAGAATTACATTAGAGTCAGCTGTAAGGTTCAAAGTTTCACTGCTCATTTTTATTGTTTTTCCATTAAACAGTCCCATTACTGCTCAATTAGGACTCAAACTGGGAGAAAAGGGAAGTAGGAAAAAAAGGGGGGAGAAAAAAGGAAGCTAGCAAAAAGACCATTACAGAAAACTTAGGATGTAAAATTTTTTTGAGGTCTCATTAGAAAGCCATACTAGTCCTCGACATATGCTTAGCTTCTGTGTCTTACACCACTTTATCCAGAATTCCTTTTTTTTTATTTTTAAAAGTTTTTGAAAAGCTCCCTTTCAGTGTTATCAAGTCACGTTCTTCTCAGAGAGCACTCTCGAACATTGGAAACTTCTTCACGACATATGTTCTAAAGAGCCATGCAACATACATGGAAATCATTACTTGCATTGAATACCTTAGCTTTCCTAAGTCACAAAGTAAATTAGAAAATGCAAACTGCAGAGTGCACCTTGTAAACTAATGACAGACACTTATGATCATGCATAATTTTCTTTCAGCAGAAATTACTTCCAACTAAATTTTAGCACCTGACAGCTACTGCATTTTAAAACCCATGGAAACATAAAGTAGGCTTCAAATTAAGAAGCTATCCTTAACGTCCTCCTCTAGTAATATTCAGCATATTTCATTAACCAAAGTTATGATACTTTGGAGGACTAACTTCTGTAATGGATACCCTTATTAACAAAGAATCAAATAGGTTATTGCTCAGTTGAAGCCATTGACCATACATGGGTGATGACCCTTGAAATGGAGGCTACTAATACACAAAAATGATATATGATGCCATCTAATACACTAATGTGAAGGCGATGAAAATGGTAAACAAGCTAAAATATGATACAATCTCATAATTTCTTACCAATGACCTATGAAACATTCATGTTATATTTAAATTACACTGACAATTACAGTGTAGGAGCATTGTACTGTTGAACAGAACAAACACAAGCTTTGGTAAATTACAGGCAGGGTTATAAAGAAGTGCATTACAACAACTCCCTAAAACTAAACTTCACTTAATGCAGGTCATACTATGATTTATGAGCCATACATAAACCCATCAAACTGAAGAATAGCTCAAACAAAAAACAGCTTATGTCAACTGTTCTTATTAATAACAGTGATCAAGAAAACTGCGAACTGAAAATATTTGAAAGTTTTTTGTGACATCTGTCCAACAAGCAGTTAAACACAGCGTCGCCACATCAGGTCACAATAGTAATATTCAGAAGAGAAAAAAAAAACCTGACAATCACTTCTGTCGAATTTGCAACAGAAGAGAAAACAAAAAATCTCGGTCGTAAGAAGACATCTATATTGATCCCAAGAAATTTCAGCGGACCTATAGCCACACATCAGTTCGAGAAGTATTGCAGAGAGGCAGGCAAACCAAAAGTTGCAGTAAAACCTCCACTTCTTGTAATGAAAATTAAAGCCCAGCATCACCCTCAGCTCACCAACGCAACACACAAAATCCCACGTCCTCCTAATTTCAGAGGCAGCCTCTGTGCCGGCTCACCCCTCGCCTTCCCGGGGAAGCCCAGCCCGGCGGGCTCGGATGCTCTCACAACTTTCTCTCCCCGGCGCGGCGCTCGGACAGGCACACGTGCAGCCGCCGCTCCGCGCCCGCGGCCGGAGCCGGGCGCCCCGCAGCCGCGCAGGGGCAGAGCGGGGCCGTGCCCTGAGGGGCGGCTGCCGCCCTGCCCCGGCGCGGGGCTCTGCTCCCGGGCTCTTCGCACCTACCTGCGGCTCGGCGGCTTCGGGCGGCTTCACCAGGTGCTTCTCCTTGTAAAGAGACCAGAGGCCGATGTCAGGCAGGAAAATCAGAGCCGCGGTGAAGAGCAGCGTCATTTGCAGAAACCTCTTCTGTTTCCTCTTCATGGCCAAAACCGGGCTGCTCCGCTGGCGGCGGCGTCAGCTCCCCCAGCACCGCGGGGCCAGGCTCTTCTCTGCCCGTAGTCCCTCGGAGGGGGCCGGCGCCGCGGAGAAACTTCGCCCGCCTCACGCCTGCCCACCCGGAGCCCGGGCGGGGCCGCCCCCCGCAGCGGCGGCGGGGCCGAACCTAGCGGCCGCTCCCCCCGCCCCGGCGCGGCGCTGCGCGGCGGCGGTGCCGCTCTTGGGGGAGTTCATGGAGCCACCTGCGAACGGAGCGGCAAACACCCCGCCACGCAGCGGGACACGGGCAACAAATAAATAAATATGCATATATATATATAGATATTAAAAAAAAAAAAAAAGTAGGGAGAAGCCTCTCAACCCGAGTCCAGTAAACAGCGTGGGACCGAGAGCTCCCCCTCCTCCCGGCCGCGCAGAGCCCTCGCCGCTGGCCGCGCCCGCCCGCCTCACGTACCCCAGCCTGCCCCAGCCTGGGCGGGGGGGGCGCGGCATCATGAGCTCATCACGCGCAATTTGCTAAGCAAGAGTTTAAAAAAAAAAACAACACCCACAACCCAAAAAACAGGAGAAAAGGGCTGATGCCAGCGCCACGGCACAGCGCTCCCCTCCGCGCCGGGGGGGCGGGCAGGAAGGGGTGACCCGCGCCCCCCGCCACCACGTGCGCGGGCCGGGCCGGGCCGGGCCGGGCACGGGCGGTGTCGGGCCCGCCCCGCCGCGCCTCCTCATCCCGGCCGCCCCATGTGCGCTTCCCGCCGGCTCCGAGCCGTGCTCCCCGGCGGGCGAGGCGGGGAGCGACAGCCCGGTGCGGGGCCCGCGGGCCGGAGCTGGGTGATGCTGCTGCTGCTGCTGCTCGTTCTGCCGCCGCCACGCATCGGGGACGGGGCTTGCAATTCCCGTTCCGGTCCATCCTCCTCGGCGCTACGTGAAATGCGGGGGGAACCGCGCGGAGAGCCCGCGGGCGGCTCCCTGCCGGGGCGCTCACCTGCCCGGGTCCCCCCGGACTCCCCCCGCAGCGCCGCCTTTCCGGAGCCCGCCCGCAACCTGAGCAGCTCCAGCCGTCGCCGAACCGCGGGGGCTGAGGTCACCTCCCAGTTCGGTAGCAGCACTGAGGGTGGGAGATGTTCAAAGCGATGTCGATTTGTGCCCAGCGTGTTGTAGTCGGACCCGTTTGGTCTTCTGGGCTGAGTTCAGCTGCTGGTTTCACTACACAATGTCATTACCTTGTCTTCCCAAAGTAATTCCTCTCAGCAAAACAAGAGGACACTCAGGTTAAATTTAGTGCCCTTTAAACTTTGTCACATCAAACGGTGGGAAAATGTGTATCAGACTCATTACGTTGACATGTCCAGAACAAATATTGAAAAATAAAGCTACCTCTAACTTCCTTTCTTTCTGCCCTGCATATACAAAGCTGTCACTTCAGCTACAGTCCCTGTTCCTATTGGTGGTTAACATATTTCTGAATGTCTAGGTCTTAATCCTGCAGTAAGAATTTTCTTTCTGTAACCCCAGTACATAGCTACGATTGGTGAGAAGTAGTCTTGTCCTTTTCCATGGATGAGATTGGTCCTGTCCATCCACAGAACCATCTTGTTCAGGAAGCATTTCCTACATATGCATAAAAGAGTAAAAGAGGCAGTAGAAAGGTTATTTTTAGGAGAGTAGCTGGAGATAAGGGAAAGCTTGAAGGCAGAACAGGAAAACTCTGAACGATGAAGGTGGAATGGGAGGAAACAGCATAATGCTCTTTAAGTAAAAAAAAGTAGGACTGGAAGGGACCTTGCAAGGTCAGCTCCTCAGTGGCTCTGCCCCAAGGCACAATCAACTACATGTATGTGTCATTCTTGACAAGCATTTGTCTAACCCATTCTGAAGTCCTCCAGTGATAGTGCCACTCCAGCCTCCTCAGGCAACCTGTTTTGTCTTGCCATTGCAAACTGCTCCTTAATGCACAATCTGAACCTCCCTTGCTGTGTTTTCAGAGTATTACATAGCCACCAAAGGGAGAGCAAGCAGAGTATTCCCCTCAGTCTTTACACAGGTGAAGCCCACTTCCAGGCCTTCTAGGGCATCTGAAGAGCTGATGTATCCTCCTGCTTTTATCAGGATTGTCTTCAACTGATTTGTGTTTTATTTGAAGTCCCAAGCTGGAGCTAATAAGCTACTTGGGATCTTATAATTGTTTATAAGAAAAGAAGGATAATCATGCACGTGTCACAGTGTGTGCTCCTTTTCCATGCTTCCGTATGGAATGCAAGCTTTGGTTGTAAAAGCAGTATCACTTAGTGATAAAATTTAAGCTCTGGTTGGTTTTGTTTCCCTCAAGACCACCTAATCAATTGTTCATATTTCTATGGCTGAATATTTCTCTGTTTTTTACTGTCTGTATTGAATATAACTTTTTTCCAAAAATATTTATCCAGTTTGTCAAAAACACTTTGAATTTAAGCCTATCTTCCAATGTCATATACAAATGTAATAAATTTGTTCAATTCTGCAATCCAGACTTGTTAGCAAGGGCTTTAGTTCCTCACAGAGCTCTGCAAAATGTATGTTTCTACATTTAAGAGAATGCCATTGATACTTTACTCTCTCTGTAGTTTCCAGGCAATTCAAAATATCTAAGTAAAATAATCTTGCTTAGAAGATTGTCGTGTGCACGACTTGTTCTATTGTCTTGGTGATAAAGGATGTACATAACTGGTACCTTTTCATCCCTGCCAGGCTATAAGGATGTCACAAAAGATCAAAAAGGCTATGCAAGCATTTACACTTTTATATTGTTGCAGCTAACCAAGAAGTTATTCAGTTCAACTGAATTTTAAAAATCTGGTTTTATTTTGAAGATATTAATCCATCCAAAGATTAAAGTACTCAGAAAACCAAAGGGCATTGATCTTGTCAGAAATTCCACTTATTTTTGTAGTTCATCATCCAGAGTTAGGAAATTTACCAAGCATATAGGAAATTTACCAAGCATGTTGGAAATTTTGATTCAGCTGCCTTTTTGTCTGAGGACATTCAGCCTTGATGTTCTTCCACTCAATGCAAAAAGCATAATAGCCAAAACCATCCTAAGTATAGAAATGATTGCTATGAGATCATATAATATTGTGTAGAAAAAGTAGGACTACTGGCAGGAAATATTTAGGAGATGTTGCATCTGGATTTCCACAGCTTGCCAGTTATGTCTGCCTCTGAAGGCTGAAGTGAATGTCGACACTGACTCTCAAGAGATGAAATTCAATTTTATTTCCTGAATCCTGAGAACCATTTTGTAGTAAGGGTCATAGGCCACAAATGACACATTCATGTCTGCTTTGTAAAGAATTAAAGACATATTTTTCAGTAAATAATTTTTTCACATAATCTTAAGACACCTAGCCCTATTAGGCAGTGCTGAATTTTAAAGCACTAAGCTAGGAAGGAAAAAGAAACCATCACTGTTGTGCAAGTTAAAAGCTGCAAATATACAGGATGTGCAGCAATAACTTATGCTTGCCCTAGAAGAACTTGCAGTGATGCTGCACAATAAACAATTGCTTCAGTGTGAACATGTTCAAACCTTCAGGTATTTGATGTTTGAAATCTCTAGCCTTAAATGATAAATAATAAAAGAGCAGCATCCTGCATGTTGGCACCACAAATTAGTGTATTGCAGATGTATTTTCATTTCCACTCTACCACGTTCTCTAAAGACAAAACTTCCACTAAGATTTCTGACATGACCTAGGACAGAAGAGTGTGAAACACCCTAGCAGGGATAAGAACTGCAAAGCAAGATGAACATGAGAAGCAGTTCAGCCATGCATTTCAAACTGAGAAGCTGAAATCCTCCAAGGTAAATTTTCTGATATTATGACTTTATGTATAGAATTACTCAAAAGGGACCTCAGGTCATAGCTAATCACTTCTCCTCATGCAGGAAATCCACTATTCAGTGCATTTGTTGCAGAAGCAAAACTCTGCTCTCACATGAAAGACAAAATACCCACCTTCACATCACTGTTACAAACATCAGAGGTTGATGTGCTCTAAGCAGAGGATGAATCTAGTAAAATGATGATTAACCATCTGTAATATTACGTATAAAAGAGTGTATAAAGGTATTGCAATGGGAGTTTGCTTTGATTATAGTATTTACCTCTGGGTAACTCAGGATATAAAATGACCTGGTCTGTTCCCATGATTTTTTTTCAATCTTCTTAGTGGGAGAAAGCATTGCAAACCACTCTCAAGGGCAGGAAGAAGGGAAAAGGGCTCTGTCCTTTCACTAGTACAACCCTGATCTGAAACAGAGTTGCACACAATTGGTGATTCTGGTATTTAGGGGACTGACATGCTTTATCACACCTGGTTTTTCATCCTCAGACATCCAAGGGTCTCTCGGAGCACCTTACATCTTCTGTCACTTTAAAATCACTTAAACTTCAAGAGAAAGGTGTGAGGCTGGTAGCATAGTAGAAATGGAAATTTCATGTGAAACAAAAAGTACTCTTTTACAAAAGTTCAAAATTCAAGATCTTCCAAAATCCCACAGAGAACCTTTATTTTCAATACCATCTGCAGAGAAACATTTCAACATATTCACCTCAAAAAATAAAATGCTTTTTTATATGTAGACTCTGGTTATAAATAACAATACATAAAACAATTTTTTTATTGACTAAGTCATTTTGTCCACCTCTGTGTCCAGTTTTGTCATCAAGTTTCAAAATCATCATCACATATTTCTACTGCTGCTGTGAGAAGACGTCTTGTAAATCTCATTTGTTGGGGTTTTCTTGGAGTCAAATTCCTGTCCTCAAAGCTAAATGAGAAATTTGGCTGAAAGGGAAAGTTAGGACCCCATCTATGCATATGGGAAATCAAGAAATTCAGTTCCCAGAGCAAACTTGAGATAAATTCCTTTTATCAAGGTTTTTGAAATTTGGCTTCTGTTTTTTTAGTTACTAGGTTTGTCAATATTGCATAGAGCCCAAAAATTTACTTGAGAAATATACTAAAAACATTTATTAAAATTGAAACCTTTGTATATCTGAAGAACTCTTCTTTTTAGCTAGCGGAAATTTTCTAGCCATAGTACCCTTGAAGGTCCATTACCTTAAAAAAAATTTTTGTAAAACTGAAAAAACCTAAATCATATGAAAATATTACTGGGGAAAGTGTGTGTCCTATCCCGCATTCCATTCTCAAACATTTGGCATTAGGAAACAGCATCAGTCCTATTCCAGAATTATAAAGTTTGATTGAAATTTGGAAGAAAAATTCTAGGAAAGTCACATAGAACTTGAATGAGTAATGATAACACCATGAATTATTTCCATTTTCAGAACTTAGTTCTGTTTGACTAGCTGGATGATGGATGATTGCTTCTTCATTGTTGCTGTGCCACTATAAACTCAAGAAAGCAAACAAAAATGCTGATGGATCAGACTTTTTGCCAGTTACCTCACAAGCTGCAGATTCACTACTACACAAAAGAAATCACTGAAATGTAAGGGTAATCAGAAAAGTTTATTTTGAGAAGCAAAATCAGTACAATGTCAAATATTTCTAAATAGCTCAGTAATCATAAAACACTGATGTCAGGAAAAATAGTTGCTCATTCTTCCTTTCACACAAACCCACAGTAATTTGGGCCTAAATATGGTACAGGAACATGGCATTTGCAGAAATTTGGATGAAAAAAGTTATCTTCTTTTAGATCATCTTTTTCAACAAACAGAAGCATTAGCTTTGCAAGAACAGAAAAAACTCAGTTCTGTGATAGTTAAGAAAAGAATTTTGCTTTTCTGAAGATCAGAAAGATCTGAAAGATCTGAAGATCACATCCTCATTTTCAGTCTTGCTGTTCCATTAAAGAAATTTTGCTATACATTTTCCAAGTATCTAGTAAGACCTCACATCAACATTACTGTTTTCACATGGAAGAGTCTCCTTTGTCTGCTAATGCACAGAGCCTTCACACTTTTATCACACAATCTGATTCAGGTTGAATGTAAAATCCAACCTGTCGTATTACTGGAAATAAAACAGTACATTCTGCAAAGCTTCCTTAACAAGACTGAAAGTCTCATCTCACCAAACATGTAAAATGTGCAGACTATATCAAAAGGTAGCAGATGTCACCTTAAGTTCTGATTTTTCACTAGAGGCATCGCCAACAAACTTCAGAGATCTGCACTGATAAACAGGAGAGCAGAATGGGCTACAGGGAGCTCATTTGCTGCTTAGCTGCTCTTAGCTGCTCATTTGCCTTCTGTTTTGGGCGGATGCTGGGCTGGACTAAGCCTGGGTCCTGCAATGGAAATCATTTGTTTCAATTAAAAATTTAAAAGGATGAATGGGTGAGATGGCACCAGGTTGTTCATACCTCCATCATCCTCATTCATTCCCAGTCTGCTGAGTATCACATACCCCAAACCCTTGTCATGTTCCAGCCATTCTCTAGGGTACATTGCATGTCTTTGGGGTCTGAAAAAAAATCCCCTTAGGGGCTTGAACAGGCATTTTGTGTCACCTCAAACACTGTAATGGCCTGCATCTTTTTCTCTCCCTGGTGTGTCTCAGATATCAAGACAGAACCCAACAGCTTGAGAAGTGGGCACATGAAAATGTTAGTTTGCTGCTTACAGTTCAAAATGACATGTAGAATTTCCCTAGCTTACCAATGGTTGCCAATTTTTGTGGCAACCTAGGACAATGAATACTGTATAAATACCTTCTGCATTTGTAGATGAAGAAATTGTCAAAGAGAAATTAAATGAAGATCATAATGCTGACAGCTCCAGTTCCATCACTGCAAATTTCTAGTATACAAGTATATGAAAACATGAAGCAAATAAGAAGCAGCACATTTCTATAACATTAGTTCATTGAATTCCATCGTGTACTGTAGAAAGGCATAATAGATGCCACAGAAAGCAAGATGATGGTCTTTTATTTTGGGTGCAACCCAGCAATTACATAACCTGTGTTCTAATGACTGCATACTGCTCCATCATTAAGAAGAAAATTTCATTTTATTTAAAATTATAATCACTAAATCCAGTGATTTCTGATGAGCTGTGTGAATGTGATTTACAATATTGATTCTACCATATTCAAGTAAGAAAATAAATGCTAAAAGAAACAATGCTCAAGATAAGTATATTAGAAAGTATTTTTGTGAGGGATATTAGTAAGCTTTTCCTGCTTTTTTATGATTAACATCTTTGACATTTTACATGCAAATGCCGAAGAGCAGAGATAAGCCAAGGTAGAACATAAAGGACTAGAATGCCACTCAAAAAAAATGCTTACTAGTATCTTTATTACCAATAGCTGCTGTCAGGTTGATCTACAGTCTTACTAACCATATATTTTGTATTTCCCATGGAAGTTGTTATTCATATTTCAAAATAGCCTTCATAAGAAATGGAAGACTTTTTCAGATATTGCAATTCAGAGATCACAGGCTGTCTTTTCAGTCTCAGGCTCCATTCAGGCTCACAGGATAGTCCACTGTAATAGGACTCAGAATACATTAAAGGCTCAAAAAAAAGACATACAGACATCACTGAATATTATGAAGGAAATAAAGGTGAAACTAACCAAAGAGTTTCATCAAAAGCTGATAGAAAAATTTTAACTGAAATGTTTAATTTCAGTGAGATTCATATTAGCAGAAAGGTGAGAAAATAAAGTACTAATGACTATCAGATATAAAAAATGTTACATGTGTCTAAGAGGTCCTAAATAATTCAAAGAATCTGGGGTGGGGGGTAATTTTTGACGTTTTTTTTTTTGGTGGGAGGAGTATTCTCATACTCTGAATAAAAGACTAGCTAACAACTATCAAGAAACTGAGGGCAAAGTAAATTTTTTACTCCAGAAGGTCAGAAGCAGCACCAGCAGCTGGAGCTGCAGAAATTTTACTTGAGAGCTAATAGTGCTTAGACAATGCTGAAATGCGCATGGGGAAAGCCAATAACATCCTCTGCTGCTGCAATTTAAATCAAGACGCATTTTGTCCTGTCCTATCACTTCAGAGTTGGAGCTCTTGAACACATTCATATGGCTTGAGGTTTTTACTAAAAGTGATAAGAACCCCTTCATTATAGCTCAGTAATCAGGAGTAAATGAGAGGGGAATCAGGCTAAAGGTAATAAACCACACAACTGTTTGTGTGGCTTGGCAAACTTATTTTTTTTAAAGCTAATGTTCTGAAAGCGAAACATTTTTCCATGATATTGTCCAATCCTAATAAATGTAATTCAGAAAATTCCCCACCTCATTATTTAGAGGAAACATTTTTTTATAACTAGGATACTGAGGACCCTCCATACCTTGGGGAGCTAATTTTAGTCCTTTAATACAATATCAAGATGATCATTAGAAGTTCAAGGATAAAAAATAGCTAAGAATAGAGCCAAATGGATTTTCAAAAAACATTCATCCTGAAGTTAATGATAAATTTAAGAATAGCTAATGTTAAGAGCTCTTTATAAAGTGATTAATTAAGTCTGTCAAGTAGTAAATCCCAAAATCTCTAGAACTTTTTCCAAGTAAATGCATCTACAATTTCATATACAGCAGAGGAGAAAGGAAAAAAAAATAGGAAGAAACTTTTGGCTGCAATTTTAAAGTCTACTCAATGGGAAAAAAAATTCTGAGTTGATGTAGAAGCAAACGGATTGGCTAAAAACCAAAAACATCAGGAACCCCACTCTCATCAAACTGGGAAAAAAAAAGTTAAAATATAAACATTGTAAAAGAACTTTTAAATTTTGAAAGAGCTAAAAACCTTAGACTTTTTCAAAGAAAGTACTCCAATTCAACATTAAGTACTCCATCCATTTCAGTATATGAGCGCTTTTGCTTAGCCCCAAATTAATTTACTTTTTTCGGTTTTTGCTTTCAGCCTTCATCCTCCTTTTCCTGCCTCTTTGTTCCCACACAAACATGCTTAGTTGAGGAGTTTTCACTTATGTGTTTCCCATGCTTTAAATGACCGTGCATCAAGGACCTTGGCACATGTACATGTGTAATACTGGAGTGTATTGCCCTGATTCATGTTTTTGACCTGAAGAGTATTAATAAGCATGGGAAAACACATTGTACTAAGAATGATTAAGCATGATTAAGAACACCTCTGATTGAACACCTCAGCAATAGCTAGGACTTTTGAAATTTCTTACAAAATTTTAAAGCTCATCTGCTCAAGGTTTCACCTGTGACTTAAATACTTTCCAGCTTTTGGGAAGCCACTAAAGCAGCTAGCAATAATGTTATTACACCTAATATAAATGTTTCAAGCTTCTTAAGACCATTTGGCATCTAAGGCTAAGACTGAAGAAGATCAGCTTAATACGACAAATCAGGCTACTTCACAATGAAAGGCCTCTCTTCAGATGACATTTATATATATGAGCAAGTAAAATTGTCATTTCTTCTCTCTTTTGGGACTCATACTATGGCATTCTGCTAGCAGAGAACTTCCTTGCCAAGAAAGCAGGCCCCATCTGTCATTCACTCTTCTTGTTTCTCAGCAGAGTTAAAAAGCTTGACAGTTTCCATGAATAACAATGACACATGCTGTTCTATCTTGCAGAGAGACACAAATTTTATTGATGAAAACAGGGTGGCAGGGGGAAAATCCCTCAGTGTTTGAAGAGTTTTCTTAGCACTGCTTATGTCTGGTTTTGAGTGAAGATGTAATTGCCATTGTATGTGTCAATGAACCTGCTTATTGCTGTTGCCAGGTAATTGCTGACCTAAGCACTCAACTAAGGACAAGTTTTCACACAAGTCTGTTCTGTAACCAACACCCCATGCTATCACAAGAAAGGTTCTTCTGTATCTCGGCTTCAACAGCTTTTAATACATAGCTCTTGGCCATGCAGGTGCATCTGCACTTAAAAAGCTACCTAAGCACAGTTTTTGAACACCTTGAAAAGTATCCAGAAATCATAGCAGAGATGTATGTTTTGAGGGAGATGCTCAGAGACAGCATGTAGATAAAGTGCTTTTGCTGTTATCAGTGATTTTCTTGGTAGGTTTAACAAGCCTAATTGCACAAATCTATTTATAGACGCACATCTATAATACCTAATTTTCAGAAAGACTACACCTACCTGTTTAATGATAGGGTTTTGTTTTTTTTTTGGTCAGTGCAGAAGACAAGGCAAAAAAAAAATCCAAGAAAGAACAGTTTACCCCAAGCTTATCTAGTTTTTGTTATTAATAATGCAACACTAAATCAGTCATTGGTCAATCTGGTGTTGGCCGATAGCTTATTAAACTCACCTATATCTTGTATGAAATGTTTTTATTAAAGAAAAGAAGACAGCACTGTGCATATAGACCTCTATTTAGATGCACTTTTTATTATTGGCATGAGTTATTTGGTATTTTGTTTTTCCTTCATCTCTATTCTTGAACTTCTGTCAAGTTAACTGAGAAATATGCTTACATCTTTAGGGGGTATGCACTGTTTCAGATTATAATTTGATATACTTTTTTTCCCTATAAATCTATCTTCACTGTGTGAAATTCAGCTGTTGTAGAGGCTGATCAAACATTAGTGTTTGGTAAAAGTGCTGCTGAATATTATATTAAATCTTGGCACAAAAAGAGATACATGCAAATGACATTTTGAGAGCCATCACCAATAAAGGAGAAGCTGAGGAATATGGGAAAATATAAAATAACTTGAGGACTAGAATAATAAAAGTGAAACTGAGTATAGTTTGGGATAATATCATATATAAATGTCCCGAAAACAGAAATAATAATTTGGAATGAAATTTTGGCTAACAAACTAAAATTTCATCAAGAATTAGAGGAAAGCAACTTATTTTTTTTTTAATTTGTTGCATCTGTTTGGCTAATGCTGTTCCTACCTCTGTCTGAAACTCTCCAAATTTCAGACAGAGGTATCACCCTTCTAGTCAAGAGCCAGGAGTAATTTCTTGCCTAGTTTTCTAATTGTTCTTTTAAGAATTAGTATTTCTAAACTGGATCTTTTTGAAAATGCTTATCATTGAAGGTTCTGATGGCTTAGTTCCTTTGACAAATCAGCTGCTAAATGAAAAGAAAGGGAAGCAGGCATAGCACAGAAAGAAATATTTTTTCTGTCCAACTGAAACTGCTATTGAAACCAAGGGTCAAAGTGCCTTTTCAGGGAAGCAATAATGCTGCCTCTTCATATTGGGTCACTCACTGTGTACTGAGTCCCACAAGTTTACTATTTCATCTCTAGCTGATTCAGATCAAAGGTCCAGAATGAGAATACAAAATAGCTCTTTAGATGTTTGTTTGCTTATTTCTGAAGCAAGAAATCTGCGTCCACAACCCATGTCACTGAAGAAGGACACTCTTGATAAATTGAAAAGTGCCAAAGTTCCTCAGTGTATATAATGATAAATTCAAACATGAAAATTCTACTTTTGGTGGAAATTCACCTCATAAAGTTCCAAGTCTAACAAGGTCTCAAATACTGTGGTTTTTTTCATGGCTGGAATGTCATGTATTTTGCATGGCCAAAGCTCCACTGAAGTTCAGCAAAACATTACTTGCTGGTAAATTTCAGAAAATTCTCTCTCAGAAAGCCTACTTTAGAAAGAGGATACCTGAAGTAAGGTGGAACTACACTTTACATACTTTTATTTTATTCATGTGGCATAGTCACAAAATGCTTAAAATTCTGAAAAATTTAGCTTCATAAGGGACTCATACATGAGTTGCCAGTATTTTGGAGCAGAATCTGTTTTGAAATATGACCTGTCATGGGCAGGTTTGGTTAGTAATACTCCTTGGCTGGTACACACCCAGATCTGTATCAGGTAGAGCAACTGAGGAATCCTTCCCATACACACAAAGCATGTCCTATAGCTAATAACACACAAAGCATGTCCTAAAGCTAATAACTCCTGTTTCAGCTGCCTGTGTCTAAAAGACAGTGAACCTAACAATGTGAACTGTGTTATGTCCTCATTTGAGGGAATACTAGGGGATGAGTAATATGCGGCATGTCAGTATGTGCAATCATTTTGTTGTATTTCAAAGTGCATTAAAGGTTATTTTTAAAGATATTTTTCTTAAAGGCATCACAGGAAGGAGTTAGCCCCTTTGTGGAAGACAGCAATAGAATTTAATAGCTGAGGCTAGTGTAGAAATGACACAGTATGAAACATGAAATTAATGGTACAATAGCTTTCAAGATGGAATCAACAACAAAAAGCTTCACCAAAGCAGACTACAATTCTGCAGTTTTGATATACACCCTGAGACAGTTCAGTAAGAAAAGATTTTTATGACTAGCAAAAGTTCATAAATAGAGGAAAGTGATGATGAGGTTAAATAATTTTAGAAGGTTAGAGTTGTTTGATGAATAGGAATGTACTAAAACAGCTTCTTCACTGATCATGTAAAAGATTTTTTTTTTTTTGGTCATGTTTGTATTTATAAATAATATCTCAAAAAGGCATTGATTTTGCAAGCTTGACTTTTGACAGCTTAGTAAGTATTTCTGGATAAAACATCCTGTTCTTTTAAAATCTTATGACTCTGAGGTTAGGCTCCACATAGGTAGGGTAGAGATAGCAATATAAAGACACTTAGGCTTAGGATTCAAGTGGTATGATGAGTGCCAACAGTGCAGTTGCAGTTACAATTGGTAGCTTCATGGTGGAGCCAAAAGCATGAGCTTTACACTTACTGCTGAGACAGAATCAGAAACATAATGTGTCAGAGCATCCAGCTTCCTACATGGTAACTTAGTGCCAGCATACCCTACAGAACAGTGATTTCTTAAACTAAGCTGCAACTGAAGTGTGTCAGGAAGTCTGCTTCATTACCTGAAATAGCTAGTTGTTTTTATAGTGTGCCAGTCAAGTTTCATTGCTGATGAGTGTAGATTATATCATGTCACAGCAAGGGGAAAAATCCATTTCAGAAAGGAAATCATACAAACAAAGCCATTTCACAAAGAGTTTAGATTATAATCAAGTTTCTTGGGGACAATCAGCATGTTTGATTTTAGATAAATTCTTTCATATGCTGAAGAAAAGCATCATTCAATGTAAAGCATCTTAATTGAGATGAAGTGCATAAGGCATTCATTTACTAAAGTATCATTCCAAAATCAGCTTCATAAAGCAACGGGTATTTTTTCCTATTCACAAACGTGCTTTAAAATATGAAGAACCATATACATCAATTTTTAGTGAAGCACTGATCTCATTTCCAAAGCTGAAAGCTGTTTTGTTCATTATTACTTTTTAAGCATTATAAACTTTAATGTTGAGATACACATTAAAATAATATCAAAAAATAATTACATAAAATTAAAACAATTCTGGTTATTTTTGTACTAGCAATGTACAGTTTTTTAATGAAAAATAAAAAAGCATCAAAACTAAATTCATAAGTGAAGCTTGAATATGCTCCCTAGTTCAGGATAGATTATCCTTAGAAGGAGAATAGGTGATTCCCAATGCACTTCTTCTTGTTACATTGGGGATACCCAAAAGAAAACAGTTTATTACTACAGATTATTAAATTTCTCATGAATTTATGGAAACAGAGTTCAGACGGCAAATTATTAATGTGGATCAACCACTGAGTGTCACAGACAGTTCAGACTATTTGTTACAGACATAGGAGAACAGTCTCTTAAACCAATTAAAAGTATTTGAGAGAGATGGCTGCTTGTTGTTGCAGGGGACAGTACAACAAGTCTTATGGCTTTGTGAACCTTACTTTGGAAACTTACCAGAAGAACTCACTTTTGTCTGATTACAGTGGGTTACTTCTTGTCCTAAAGCAAGCAAAGAACACACTTAGTTGAGGAGCCAAGATTTCAATTCCTACTCACATCTGGAGAAGATTCCTTTGACATTGCCCAAGTTTTGCCTGGTTGATTTAAAAATTAACAGTATCCTCCCACTGTTCTCTGACAGCGTCCTCACTGGTAATTAACACTCTAGCAATGACATTTATTTCTCATTTAAGTGTAATAACAGTGTGTCACTTACACAACTTTCTGGAGATAGAATTTTCATGGCTGTGACCTTTAAAAATACTTATAAAAGCAAATGAGCTATGAAAACAGGTTTTGTTTGTCTGTATGTGTGATAGTCACCCAGTATACTAGCAATTAGGGAGAACATCCAGTTTTAGGTTGTATGTGCAACAGGCATGCACATCCTCTACTCATTTCAGAAGGGGTACTTCCTATTCAGAGGTAGATACAGAGTGCTAACAGAGTACATTTTTATATATAGCTGTTGGTCTATCATACCCAGACCATCTCCATTCATTGAAAACATTCGTTTAAACACTAGATACTGAAACATACATTGCGAGCTGGTAGTGAATTTCCATTTGTCTTGGTGTTAGAGGTTAAGTAAGCTCTGAAGTAAGATCAATCCTGAGAAGTACTGTTTGAACTAAAATATACCCTTCTAATTTGTAAGCTCTTCAGTTAAGAGATGTATGTACTTATGCAGTATTTCAGATATGGGAGATAAGAAGCTAGAAGCATTACTACAGCTCAGGTGAGAGTGAAGGCTCACAGGAATAAGCACAAGATGCTGTGCCAATTGCCTGGAGCAAAAGTAAAAATGCAACACTGAATTGCATTAAATTCTCAAGTTGTATGCTGCCTCTAATGACATACTTTTGCCAGAGTTCACTTCAATAGCAGAAGATTTCAGGATATTAGTGAAGTTTTTATTGCAGCAGAATTTATTACTGTGAGTGCTACAGACATGCTGCTGTTTGCATAGCTGGAGCAGGGTGCAAGATCTGTTTCTGCAAAAGAGTGTCCCACATCCCCATAAGGGAGGAGGCTGGCCAGTGAGATCAGGCTGCATTTCTACTCATTACTATAATGAACTAGTGGTCTCAGAGACCAGTTGAACCTCAGTGCAATGCTAGCAAGTCAGCAATATGCTGCTAACCAAGATAAAGAAGGTGGCATAAAAAAATAAATAAAAAGAGGGCATCACTCTCTACATGAAAAATCTGTACCTAAATCAAGCACTCATTAATACCTCAATGTATATGAATCACTGAAAATACAGAATTTTAAAAAACGTGCTAATTTAAAAATATTATTAAAAAAATTGAAAATAGTTACTTAAAAGAAAACATTACCAGGTTAAGGTAATTATTAACTGGTTTTTGAACATGCATAAAGAAAAATTGGATTTTGGGAAATACAGTTTGATTAAAGCATGTAAGATGACAAACACGGGAATTATAGCAATGCTAAATAAAAAGGTAACATTCAAGCTCAAAAGACATTGCTTTTACTGAAATTCTATTTTAATTTGGACATCATTATGCCCACTAAAGATTAATAATAACAGAAATGGATATTGTTTCAAACCCTACAGACCAATAGCAATAATGCAGCTGCCCACTTATTTCTCCACAAAGAAAAAGAATATAGTCCCAGACACTAAAAATTGTGTTAATACGCAGATTTCCAAAATAGTGATTTCCTCTAAAATAAGGTCATCATAAGTCAAATGGGATAGAGAAAAACATTTAGAGAGAAAGACATCAAAAGAAATTTAGAAACTCTTTTGAAAAAGATGGCTGCTAGACAGCAAGAATCGTGTGGTAAAAATATCAAGGTAGAAATGACATCCAAAGGGTGTCCTGGTTCAGCACAATTTGAGGACTATACTTAACAGTATAAGAAAACAGTGAGAAGGAAATGGAAAAGAAATCAATAGAAACTTGACATATACAGGACACAGATATCTGTTAAAGGAATTTAAAGGCATTGTGAAAAATGCGTGGTAGGATGGACTTTACTAATCTTAGTAAGAAGATTTAAATGTTACCATCATTGGTGAGTAATTAGGTGTATTTTCTAATGGACATGGCAAACTTGCAACAAAGATCTTGCAACTGCTAGGTTTTTTGTTTTTTTTCCCATCTGTCCCCCTGCCTCCCCACCACCAGAAGTGGTAATTCAAGTTGTGCCTAAGTATCTTCACACGGAGAAAACACTGCATGAAACTTAAAAAGGACAAGATTAAGAAACAGCCACTGGAAATCTAAAATCACAGACAATCGTATGAGAAAATGCGGGCATTTTTAACAATGAGTGGGATTAAGCCTTGCCATGCTTTAATTAATAGGATGGGTGGACCCACCTGCTGTTTTTCTGGAAGACTTGCTTTATTCAGGAATATGTTTTCGTTCAATACAGGGTATCTTGGAGAAAAAGAAGGACTGGTTATTCTAAAGGTCAGGCCAAATGTTCCAATAATATGCGCATTCAGTGAAACTTTAAATAATACTGCAGTAGCCCCTTCTCATGTCTTACTTATTAGAGGAGATAAATCCCTGGCTGTATGCCCTGGGTCTACTTCATATTGTTAATCACTTTGTAATTTTCCTTAGAGAATATATTGACTAAATTGCCTCTGTCTCAGAATATTCCTTTCCCCCTTTATATCTCTATGAAACATCTATAGCTTTTCTCTGTGCTGAGAAAATAACTTTTCTTCTTTTCATATTTCAAGGTTTCAGACATATCTCCATTTTCTCCAATCTGAAAGAGCAGACATATCCTTTGGAGAGAAACTCCAAATTTGTGTGAAGCTTCTAAAACCCCTTCTCTACAATAACTTGGAAACTGCTTAACGGAATTTCATTTCCTTCCAATTCTTCTTTCTTCATCTCTAATAACTCTTTAGAGAAAGCTACTTCTATGAAAAATAACTTAATAGAAAAAGGAAATTTCCTTTTCCTGAAATACCTTTCTGTTGCAAGGGCCTCAGTAACCTTTCTATTTGACCAGTTGGAATAAAAAAAAAAAAAAAAAAAAAGAAAACCAACGTTATTTTAATGCAGTTTTATCTGTGCTGTTGAATATAGAAAGAAGCAGGACAAAAATAATATTTTTTAAAAATTACGGCTCGTGTCTGAAACATGGCATTTCTCTCTGGAATACCATGTCATGAGCTGATAATGCTAAAATTAAATTAAAGGACAATTCTTGGTAAGAAAGCCTAAGGCAGAAATTATATACTTTGCTGATAATCTGGTGTGAAGCTGGGATAACCAGTCCCAATTTAGGGCCATTATAATGGGGGTCACCTGCATCAATAGATTTTGAACTTCAAAGCACATGCTTTGATGACCTTTCACAATCTGGAAGCCTTACCAACGACTTAGAAGATGAGTGAAGGCAGAAAAGAACTTAAAGTGGAAATTACGACAATAAATGTAATCATAACAGTACATGAAATTACAACAGTAAATGTAATCGTAACTCTTCCTTATTATAAATTTATGTTTAAAGACCAAAATCCATAGTACCTAAGATTGAGACTCTTAGGAATGGTGACCACTAAGGATGTTCCCAGGAAAGAACATGTCACATCACAGTGCATCTAAAGTGTCTCCACCTGCTGCTAGGAAAAAGGTATGGTGTCAGGCTTGCTGGCATTCCCTTTGTCAGCTAAGCAGAAGACTAACCTATAAAATTATGTGAAGCATATACAAATCTATGTTAGCTACTACTTTAGGAAATATATAAAATTTCTTTCTATCTAGTGCTTCAAGGCATAAAATATTTGTTGGATATTTTTTGGACTTAACTCAAATTTAAACTCTCCTTCAGGACTATCAGATGAGCTGCCCAGGAGAAGCTCAATGGAGCTTGAACCATAGCAGGTGCTGAATGGATGTGCTCCCTTGCCAGTTGCTGTAGCACATAGCAAACTTGCCTTTATTGGCTTCTAAGGCAATGAATCTGCCCTAGTTTTTCACCACAGCCCCAGGCATGCTGCTGATCATTTAGATTTAAGCGTATCGAAAGTTTTAAATGCCTATCACTTCAGATACCTGTGGATTTTGCAGCTGGAAAGTTGACTCAGAAATCTGCCTCAAAGTTAATAAATTGCATTTAATCTGACTACTGTTTGATATGAAAGATCTTAGTTAAAAATCCATTCACTGGCTTTGAAGCAGAATGTGGATGAGCAACTGATGAGTGTCAAAAAGTGCTTGTAAAAAATATTGATTTTCTGTAGATAATAAAGTATCTAAATATTTAGAATATATTAATATTTTTTATAACCTTAGGAAATAAGACACTACAGCTTTATCATTCAAGCCAAGAAATTTAGTCCCAGGATGTTAAGATATTACTTTCAAAGTATTTTGGGGTTTGTCCTTTCTTGTAATACCCTAGAGATAGTTAATTATATTTCTTTGTGAGACAGATAAAATAGATACTGTAAAATGCACCCAGTTACTCTACTTGTGTTTTACATACATGGAACTTTAAAATTTATATAGACAGTAATTTTTTAAGGGCTGTTTCAGTTTTTCTTATGTTTATGCTGTCCACCTCAAATGTGAAGCTAAGATTCTAAAATTACCTTAAACATGACTGTAATTGCTTTCAATGAAAAATCAAGCAACTTCAAACACTCCTAGCAACTAATTTTTAAAAAATACCTAGTAATTTACATATATCTGAAATAATAATCCAAAGGGTGAACATGATAAATAATTGCAATTTAAAAACTGTGGACCTGACCAAAGCTGCTTTGTAATTTCCTCTGAAAAGTGACAATTTTTGAAATAGTTGGTGTAAAGGCAAACAGTTTAACATATGATGATTCAGAACTTTATATTTCAGGATTGATAGGGTTATTCCTAAGAGTAGACGTTAATTGCAAATAAAGATAATAAAATTTATTTATAAACTGAATGGATTTATCCAGAGCATTGGGAAGTAAAGTAAAAGGAAGATACCACACCAGCAAAATAGGAGATCAAATTAGTTCAATACTGAAGATTCTTGCAGAGTCCAATCTCACATTTAGAAAAGAAAGTCTTTAGTATTCAAAAGTCATTGGCTCAAAAAATTCTGATCAAGTTTGAACTTTTTAACTTATTTTACTTATAGGAATACTTTTACTGGTGGAATTTACATTCCTTTAATTCTGTAACTTTATGTGCCAGTGCACAGATGGGCCATGGGGAACAACTGAAATATAAAACTGGTAAAGACCAGATAGGCTTCAGAAGCAAGCCTAGTCTGTCTTACTGACAGGGGTCATTTCCATTAATATCATACCTTAATAACTATGCCCTTAGACTGGCACAGAGCCCTGCACATTAGCTTTTCTCATGAACCCTAAGATTGAAAGTTGTTTATAAAAAAGATAAAAGCGTGACACATGATTATAAAAAGGCATACTTCATCTATTAAGATTGATCTTTCACTTCAGTACATATACTTCTAAAACATCTCTATTCCTTCAGGCTGAAGGTGAAGAGGAATTATATCTTGAACCCAAAATTCACAATTAAACTATTTTTCAATTATTTCTAGAGCAGCTCTCTCTGGTGGGTAATGACTATCAAGAACATTATATTACAAAAGTGGATAACATCAGCTCCCACTGTTCAATTCTTGTGCTACAATAGACATAGTAAATAAAAATATGCATGTTTGAACAATGCTGCTACTTGGCCCTAAAATAATTCTTACCACCTTACAAGTATTAGGATACAAAACAGACTCTGAGGCGGGAACTTGTGTTTTGCTTCCACAATGGTTATAAATTATATAATAATCACAATTCAAGTGAGTTATTTCTATTGACTGTGAGAAATAGTTAAGTACAATTGGCTATTTGTCCAGAAAATACCCACATGTTTAACTTGTACAAATAATCCAAATTAATTCATCTGGCTCCTGTTGCAGGAGAGAATACCAAATGGGCTAATCAGATGTGGTTAAAGGTGTGTTTTTGGTTGTCAGGCCCACAATAGGAACCAAATGAAATAATTTGAATTAATAATATAAATTAAGCGTTACAGTGTAGTGACACTAATAAGGTGAGTAAAGATTTATAAACTCTTTTTTTAAAACCAGAAGGGGAATAAGTTTTATAACTTAAGCTTTATTTTAGCTTAACCAGGAATTAAGTTTTTGAAAAGAAAGGGAAATGGGACAATGAATGATGCTGACCACCAAACGCAGAGATTTCTATGTGAAAATTGACACATATGTTTTATTTTGCTTACAGAAGAGTGATGGAAATGGCAGGGAAAAACATTAAGATGGTGGGGAATGAATGATGGGTTGGAGCACAGCCTGCTGTTTTTAAGAGAAAAATTCTATCTATCATTATAACTGGAAGTCCTCCTTTTCCTATATTTTTATATTTGAAGAAAATGTTGCTATTTCAAGAATTGTTGAGAATCTTTGCCTTAGCTCTGACCCTTCAAAATAGGTCAAGACATTGAATTCTTAAATCCTTCTATAGGTCAAAACCTAGAATAGACCCATCTGTTCCAGTTTTCATCTGTTTAATTTCTTCTATTGCATTTAACCCTTGTTATAATGTCTTGTAAAACTCTTATGGGGAAAACAACAGCAACATATACTTTGAGTATGCCCAGGTTGTTAGATCTTGAATCTGGTTGTTAGAGCAATTATTTCAGTAGACTGTGGGATACCTATGAGAGACTATTTCTCATACCTTGTAGTTGTCTGGGAAGGATGCTAAGCATGAAAGTCTTTCTACTGTTTTCCAAATACATTTCTCTCCTGAACTCTGAAGCAATTTTTGAGTAAGACAATGATGACTTGTTTGTACCTGACACTGATAATACTGTTTAAATGGCAACTTTTAAATGGCATCAAGGTCTTCTACAATCGAGTATTTTCTATAAACCACCTTTATTACCAGTACTTCCAATAATGGATGAATTCAAACTATACAATTTCACCCATAAACAAGGAAAAAACCCAACTACTTTTGCTGTTATGTGTAATTCATGGAATATGATTTTTTAAAGCAGTTACTCATTTTTTCTACTTTGCAGCAAATCACTTAGGAATGTTTGCGGCTTTTAATTTGCCAGAGTTTTCTTTTCTACAAATCAAATTAGTAACTGAGTCTCTTGTTAGGCAGAATTGTAATGAAACTAGAGTTCATGGGCAGTTAGGCAGAGCTGCCCTAAGCCTTTGTTTCTGCTGGGGTCTGCTGCTTGCTAACAAGATGGCATCATAGGACAAGAGTGCCTAAGGCTTCTGATATGACACAAGAGAGAATTATTGGGGCTACAAAGCTCACTGAGCATCCAGACTCTGTGCTTTACGAGCATATTTGTATCTCGGCTGCATAGTTTGATTTTTTTGACTGTTTCTTGTTAGGCAGGTGTACTAAAATACCAGCAATGCTGAAATCTTCCTCTGGTATGGATCATAAAGCACCCATACTTGTCTTTCTGTACTATGATTGTTAGGATTTCTGAAGAAAAAGCTTGTTCCTTTTCTGTCTCACAATGATCCTGTAAATTTTTTTGCAATTCACTGTAAACATTTTAGTAGCCCTCAAAGTCTAAGGCTGACCAGTGTATAGAGTAACTATAAGGTCTGACACCAGCTTTATAAGAGACCTGTTTTCCAATGGAGCATCCAGGTTGCATTTTTTGGAGGTGGCAGGATTATGGCGCGTGTATGTAACATATGACACTGCCCTGAGCATGGCATCAAAAGAGTTCTGAGCTACAAGTACATCATTAAAAGAAAGGCTCCAAAGTACCCAGTTCACTTTGCAGAGGTTTTCCATATAAAATGTGCAATTATGCTATGTAGTAATTCAGAATTACATGATACACTTTCCATTTCTTCCCTGTTCAGTAGTGCCATGCTATTCTCCAAACTTCAACTATTCATTCTAGGATTATCTGTCAAAGAAGGAAGCTATTTTGTCTGAACATCAACAGGAACATCTTTTTCTTGCAGTCTTGGAGATCTGGACTACAAGGATAAGATCCTGAAGGCCTTTCTTCATCTGAAGCATTAGGAAATATTTCCAGAGTGGATAAATGCAATTGCAGAGCTGCACTTTGTGAGATACAGCAAAAACCTTTAACGTGACACAGTCTGTTTCCTTTTATGGATTATTGAAAGTAATTTACAGATTACATGGAAAGGCAATTCAGAGTGAGTAGTTTAGCATTTCATTTACAATGGCATTTCGTGTGGAGTACCATGGATATGGTAGCCATTTCAGAGAAGAAATACCAGAGTCTAGTACAAATCTAACTTGCAGCAAATGCACAGACTCAGCACAAGAGAGACCTACCTTAGCAACGTGGGAAGATAGTTATTTCTTCTATTTATCTTGAAATCTTGTCACATGAAATTACAGAATACGCCACGTGGCAAAATTCTAAATTAAAGCACAATTTCTAGCTTGTATTTCTCCCCATAAAAGCAATTTTCTATCCTGCAGTTTGGGGAGAAAGGGGAGCTTTTGAGTCTTATGTAACCCAATAAGTTTTACAATATTCATGATTATTCTCTGTAGGCAACTTTATTTCACTCTTACAGAGCTCTACAGCTCCTCTGGGGGCTATCCCTATGTCTGCTCTTTGGTGAAATTTGCTTTAAACATCTCTTAGAATCACAGAATCACAGAATATTCTGAGTTGGAGGGAACCCATCAGGATCGTCGAGTCCAACTCTTGGCCCTGCGCAGGACACCCCAAGATTCACACCATGGGCCTGAAAGCATTGTTTTGATATCTGCAAATTCTTCACTGTATGGAAGAAATTTCTTCCCTTCCTGTTTAAAAAACAGTTTAGTTTCATTCCTTATCTGAAGACTAGATTTCCCATGTCCCTTTTGAAGTTAAGGTAATTCTGGGATGCATTTCACTAGTAACTACAGTTTACTGCATATAAGTAAATAGGATCTGATTTTTAGCTCAGAAAAAAAGCCTCAGACTCCTTAATGTCTCTCTTGTTCCAATGGTCAGTAAAACCATAAATGAAAACATAATCCAAAGTGGATAAATGTCAGATGGTATATAATTTGAAGTACATGTTTTTGATGTAATATATGACTGCTACTTACAGCAACTAATTTCAGCACTTGCAAAAAGAGAGAAAAACCACCCTAATTTAATTCTGGGTCAAGGCCAGGATTTGGTTCAAAATACTGTTATCAAGTAGTGACTTTGTGATAGTCACCTATATCCTTATAGATATATGAGAAACAGTATCAGCTACTCATAGTTGCTCGCCTCCAATTAGCAGTGGTATATAAAAATGTGAAGCTTGAAAAAAAAGGAAAAAGCTTGAAAAAGAGCAACTGACAGGGTAAAATAGATCACAGAAAATAAATAAAGGCACCACACTAGCCAATCAGAATAAAAATTACATTACAGCAAAAAGCCCCATCCTTGAAAAAAGAGGTCATTTATAATGAAAGAGGAGAATTTTACAGCAAAAATAAATCAGAAAATGGAAAGTAACAAATAAATCAGAACAGAAGAATCATTACCTTTCATAACATTAATATGAAACCATTTACAATGCAAGACAAAAAAAAAAAAAAAAAAAAAAAAGATTTGAGGAATGTTTTAGTAAATAGTCCATGGCTATGAATAATTTTCCAGACTTATCATAAGCATAGAACCTTCCCAATAGCTGTATGGCCTTGCAATCCTGTGACAAATATCTGTGATTTTAGGGTAAATGGATCTGTAGGCACAGATAGGAATGCTATGGGAAGAAAATTGAGCATTTCAATACACAGAAGCTAAGGGAAGCTCGTACACAGACCACTCTTTACAGAAGATAAGTCTGAGGAATTGTTTCAGTCAGACATGCTAATAAATCATTTTCAATAAGAGATCAATAAATTGAATAGTAATAAATCACACAGATCATGTGATATTTGCTCAATATTTCAATGCAAAATTGTCAGCATGTTAAGTAGATTACTTATACTTTCAATCAGCTTTACTGCCAGAGGAAAGGAAGATCTCTGCTGGAATTTCAGCTTCCTAGAGAAATTTAGGTTATTCTGCAACAATGCACAAGAAAATTGGTAAATTCTGTTACACACACTTCAATTAGTAATTTTTTAAAAATTAAAAAAACCACCAGAAATCCTAGACGTCAAAGGACAATGAGTAGCTTTTATATAAAAATATATAGGCAGACATATATTACCCACTTTGAAAATGGAATAACTTGGAGAGAATCTGATAGAGAGCAATGCGATGACCCTTAATTAAGTGGAAAAAAAAAAATCTATTCACTTTTTTATGCTGAAACACCTGAACTATCTGATGCCCTTAAACTATTAAGCAACACATTTAAAGCAAGTGAAAGAAAATAATAATGGTAAATCATATAACTTTGTCCTGGCATTTAGCAGTAACCAAAATGGGATAAGATACAGTGAAAGTAATAAAAAACATCCATCAAAAGCTAGTGTATATGATACGGAAGAAAAAATTATAATAAAATATAAATGACTGACTTTTGGAGGAAATACTGAAGGATTATGCCTCTGCTCTAGATATATGTTCAGTAAGTTTTTCCCATGCACCTGTGACTGGTCCCTGTCAGAGATGGGATTCAGCAGTGAAGGACTATTGCTCTGATAAGTAGGACCATCTGCAACTGTATTGCTACATTTCTAATGCTGCAGCACTTAGGCAGAAGAGGATGCTAAGGCAATCAGATCATTCTCAGATAAATCAGGACAGTTAAGAGCTCATATCATATATTTGCATTTGGATTTTGAAGTCGGAATGTGTTTGTCAATAACTGGAATAATTCAGTTAATATTTTTAATAAATATAGTCATGGCTATATTTTTATTATGTGGGAAGTGGGTTTTTATTTTGTGGGGTATGCACATCATCTAAATTTAGATGTTTATGTTCATTTTATCATTTTACAATTAAAGCCCAGAGTAATGCAAGCAATTTTGGCTAAATCTGAGGGAAAGATTATATAACATTCAGACAAGGTACAGGGTTCATGGCACAGTTACTCAATAGCATAATTCAGATATGAATTTGAACATGATAATCATTATATGTTTTGACATTTGCCAGTGCCATGCCTGACTGTTATTTAGAAGGCTAGTTTTATGTAATTTTTATTCTCAAAATGTATCTCTTCTGACATTCCTTTGCCTTGAGTCTTGATATTATACATTCAAGTATGATAATCATAGAACATTCAAACATTTTATAAATGCACACTAAAATATTATATGACAGTATGTGTGTAACTATCCAAATTTAAAATAAGTTTTATGAGTCCTTTCTTTAAAAATAGTGTTTCTGACATTTACATGTAAGAGCCTAGATGACCCCTTCAGAAATACATTCTGAACAAAATAAATGGGACTGGAAAGAAATATTTTTTAAAATGTGCTGTCACCACATATGCTCTATACAACATCTATAGTTACAAGTTCTAGCCAATACTTCTAATATTCATCTGTGTCCCTTCCTTTAAAGAGGAAAGAGATATTTTTTTGTTTTGGTGAGAAAGCTGCAGAACTTCTCTTTAAATTGCTTAGGTTTTTCATAGTGGCAGATACACTTTCAAGCAGGTTTTAAGGACATACAATAGGTTATAAAACCCTCTTTTTTTGTGTGGAATTTTGTCTGAATGCCATGATACCACACTGAAAATCACATGCCTTTTAAAATGTTGCAATGCAAATGTATTACCTCTGCAATAGAGACTGCTGCCCTTTAAGCAAACACTTCTCCTTTGATAATATTTTGAGATATGTACTGCTGCTGCTCCTTTCAGAGTGCTGCTTTATCTTACTTTCTCCATGCCCTCCTGTAGAGGTAGGCTTCCTTCCCATCAAATCATGCAGTGTGGAGCATATCAGACTCTGCAGAGTTCCTTAAATATTTGGTTGAAGGTCAGTCCTGCCATCCAGAAGGGAACAAAAACATAGTTTTATGCTTTGCTACACTTGAAGAAACTTGGAATAATAATCAAAAGAACACAGGAATCACTTTCCCAGTATGATGGTGTTAATTTGTCACCCTGCACCTCTATAACTTGTGCAAGTGGAGGCTTGCCAACAGTAACAGCTGGATGCTCAGGTGTGCATATTTCACTTATTTTACAAAGCAGCAGAAAGAAAATAAGTAGGCATGTTGTATGTGAAGAAAAGGCTAGGGTTTTTCTGCTGCTGACACTGTGCCACTGAATTATGGGCAGTGGTTTGGTGAGAAGCCTTGATCCCATTGAACAATAGTAAAATTCCTGTTGTTATCGCTTCATCTGGGAAAATTAATGTGGAATATTTGGGAACAAATGAGGAAAACCTAGTGTCTCAGAGAAGCAAAGCCTTTCCTGCACTTTGGTTCTCATACTCTTTATTCCAAAACCCTAAGCATGGATAGAAAACATTGCTTTAAGAAGATTACTTGGAATTCCAGAAGGAAACAGAGCAGGACTTCAGTGCCACTATTTACCTAGAAATATCATTCATACATATGCACACAACAGATACATCATTTACTTAGAAACACACTCTATGAAGTTTTCTAGGAAAAGTTGACAAAGCTATGGTATAAAATTGTAATAATTTCAAACAACTAGAGTGTTTGAAAGAAAGTGTTTTGCTTTCATACAGGCAATTTTCTCTCCAAGAAACAGTCCTAAACTAACCGTGTGAGAGAAATATTTGATACATGGTACTTCACTGAACCTAGAATAATTGGAATCCAAGATGTCTAAGTTCACAAAAGCACAAGAAGCCTCTCTTTTATAACCTGCAAAGAGGTAGGAAACTTTGGATGATTGCAGTAAGACTGAAGCTTTTCATTGAATCATCACAGTGATTGAATAGTCTGGGTTAGGAGAGATCTTAACGATCATCTAGTTCCAGTGCCCCTGCCACGGGCAGGGACATCTTTCACCTCAATTTCAGAGATTTCAAAAGTATATTTGTTGTATATTCTACCTCCCATACTGAGCATTCAATCTTCGTTATCAAGAATAGGTATTAATAATCTAGTGGTAGAAATAATTTAAAAGACTATTTTCTAAACAATTTTTTTTTGTAAAATATAAAACAACCATAGAACATGCATTGCCAAAGTATGGAAAATTGTGTCTTGACCAGAATGGGAGGGTTTTATATAATTTCTGCTTTTAAATTGATTCTGCAAGTCACTTGTTTTTAATTACCTATAAAACTATTCATTGAATGTCACCACAACACTGTTTCACTTACATTCTGTGCTTGTCTTTGCTTTGTGCACATCATCCTTCCAGGTTTTTTCAGCCTTCTTTTAATTTTTTTTGTCTCTACAAGCAAATACTTTTTTCATATTATTCAAATGATCAAGTGATTTTTCGTGATTCACCAGGCTCGTAAGTCAGTGTTACCACAGCATCTGAGACCTTCTTGATGATCTTCAGGATCTTACACTGATGAAGACCGACATAACTGTAAGGTGGCAAAAAATTCTTATTTTCTACATGGGAAACAGGCAAACCACTCTGCTAAAGCATGAAAGGAAGAAGCACTGGGCTGGCTTTTGCAATTATAAAACTTCCTTTCTGTCATGAGTTTTTCAATCATATAGAATCTTTGAGATTGGGAAATGCCTCTAAGATCATTGAGTACAATTATTAACATGTAAACTATTAACCTAACTTATCTAAACATATATTTGTACTTCTGCATCGAGGTGCATAGATTGAGCTTGTGCTCTCTTAGCAAGCAGAAGTATTAATAGAAGCTCATTATATGCAAAAATACAATTTAATTCAGTTTATATTAGTTTCTACCTCAATCTCAATTATATATGCATCACTTTTATTAATTTAATAACTATTCCTTGCTTGTAATTTCAATGTTAACGAAAGACAACTTAATTGTTTTTAGAAATTTACTCTTAAAGTATTTTCTCTGAATTATCAAGTGAATATTATGTACATCAATCATTGTTTTAGTGGTAAAAAAATTTTCAGTTACAAGAATAACTCACATTTTAATAACACTAAATGGTGTTTCACTATGTAAGAGTCCATTGTGAAGATACATCATATTCAGATTTCCTTTCACTTAATAACAGAACCAATGAAGAGGAAAAAAAAAAAAGAGATATAACTTTAGTACCTTCATATTTTCATTTCTGTTAAATATCACACTGGGTATGGTTCACATTTATCAATTTGATTATGCAGCAGTTATGGGCTGCTTTTGTGTATGTAATTTCTTTTATTAATTTTCCCACAAATCAAATAATATGAGAAGAAAAAGGGAAAATAAAGATAATAGTTTCACAAATACCTTAATGACAAATCGAAAACTTTGTCATGAATCATTGGTATATTATTCTTTTTCTCTGTCTTTCATCTGGAGAGTGAGAAATCAGAAATTTTCATTTAACTTAACTTTTTTTTTCTCTCCAAATAAATCAGACAATGATTTAAATGGTTTCTGGCCTTGTTTTCATATGATTCCTTGCTGAATTGTATAAAAAATAAAAATTAAGGTTTTGGTTTGGGTTGTGGTTTGTTTTTTTGGGTTTTTTTTGTGTGTGTTTTTTTTTTTTTTTGTGAAAAGGTGCATGTATTTCAAAAGAACACGTAGTCACAAAACATTTACTAAATTAATATCCTATATTTAAGAATCAGTCTTCCTTCCTTTGACAACTAAAATATTAATTTTCATTTTTGAATGCTTTTTTTCTTTTAACTCCTGTGCTTTCCAAGCTGCCTCTGATCTGGTTCCCTTTTCCTTTCAAAATACCATGTCTTTTGAAGGATATAAATCCTTAAAAATCTTACAAAAATATATAATGAAATCTTACAAAATAATTGTCCCCTGAATGAGGAGGTGCTGTTCTGGGGCCTAGGCACCTCAGAGGCTGGGAGGGGAGTGAGCTGAAAACTATTCTGTGAAATACTGGTGTATGTACCTGAACTTTAGTGCTGGTGGCAAATGGCCAGGAACAACAGCTTTTTAGCCCCAGAAGATGTGTTCCAAATTTAGTCTGACCAAGATGAATATGCCATCACTTGGAGAGCCTAAGAGAAGCAGTTTTGTCTTTTTCCCAGGAAAAAGAACACATAACCAGAGGTTTCCTCAGGAACTTCCCTCCTGCTCCCTACTCAGCTCCTCCTGATTTACTTCCTCCCATGTTTGGGGATCTGGATTACCTTGTACAACCCAACCCCACCTGGCAGTGAGTTTCTCAGATGCTGAATATCAGCATCTTCTCCACCTGTGTGTTTATATATCACACAGGTATGTAAAGATCTAAAAAACATATCAGCAGCTATGCTTTATGCACCTGAGAAATATATGGGGAGATCTTAAACCTGATTACAAAAAGTGTTTGAGAAAAATGAGCTTACCGGATGTCATGTTTCACACCTTTTTAAATGTAGGTAGCTGAAGCCTGGTTTCAGAAAGGAGAACAGTTGTACACCTCTGAGCATCATTATCTGAAACAAGATAAGTTAATTTCATCTTTGACTGCTTTGTCAATCAGCATAAGAAGATATTAAATCACAATAGAAAAGACATTGTTATACAGTGATTATTCTCCTGGGATACCCTAAAGCAGGAAGAGCAGTCAAGAGTTTCATATAGCACAGGACAGTAATTGTCTCATGACAAGTGTGGTCCCTGAAGATCACTTTAGGGCTATTTTAAAGGTTTTGTAGAGAATACTGTGCATATATGTTGTAGTAGAAGATGACAGAGATGGCACTTTAGAGTCAAAAAAATGAATTCTAGCTGTCTGTGAGGTACACACTGATTAATTTAAAGTGTTAACAGCCAATTGAACACTTCTTCAGTTGAAGCATATTTATTACACAGTGTAACAACCAGTTAATCACATTTTGAAGCTGTGGCATAAGAAAGAAGTGGGAAAGCAACAACCTTCTCTTCTTTCAGTCATTTATTTAGCTTGATATAAAGCACTTTCTTTTTTTTCCCTCTTAAAACTACTTTGAAAATGCAAGGGCATTTTTCCTTTTTGGAAAAAAAAAATCAAAAATAAACCATTTTTGAGACAAATGCAGAATATTGCTGAAGAAGGATTGTTGAAGCTATGGTTTGAGTTCTGGAGAATGTCAATAACTGACCTAAAGTGAAATCAGTTTAAAACTCCTGCAATAAGATATTCAACCACTTTGCCATATGCCTTACTCCTATCTTCCAATTCACAGTTTCTCACTCAGTTCTAAAACTAGGCTATTTTAATAACCCTGGAAAAATGCATATGGTTACTATTTCTTTTCCTAATGCAAGGACAACAACTGAAGTATTTTTTCTTTAGCCTAAAAATTTCCGTTTCACTGAATATACTTGATTTCTGTTTCTATCAGAATAAACTGTATCATAAATATAGTATTTGTGCTTGTGTGTGTGTATGTGTAGGAATTTTTTCCTGAACTATCTGCTCTCTTTGAAAATGTGACCTCCGTGAAGCAGAGAATTGAATATTCATAAATACTTGCATACATACTTACTGTGCAAAAAAAGTCATTAAAAATTACTACCATAGCTGAAAAAGACAGCATATTATTAAATTATAATACAAAAGTATGGATAGCTCAGTGCTAAGCAGACTGTAAAAGTGAATTCTGTAACTTGATGTTTAGAAAATTATTATTATAAAATACATCCACATACATTTTCTGATTTAAGACAGGATGTTGTTCTTAGTTTTATCAAGAATCATATGAAGACAAGCTTAGTAAATACCTGTGGATGCAATAGACATCCACATGCATAATAAAGTCAGATCAAAGAACTACAGTGCTGCAATATTGATTGCTCTTTTGCATAGCATGGAAATAAAAAAAGTGGTCATAACACGTTTCCAATTTTTGCAAGGTCTCCTGGGTAATATACTGATCTTAAAATGGGACAGGAAAAAAAAAAAAGAAGGAATATGATTTTGAGGCTATTATTTACAAATAATATTTATGCCAGTGAATTTGTATTTCCTTCCTTTTCCTTTTCTGCAAGTAGTCTCGCTAAGATAAAAGAATAGAAAAGACATTACCTTGTTCCTAGTATTCTTGTCACATTTTTAATAAAGGACTAAAATACATATTAATTTCTACGGAGCATAAGGACACCTTTACAGAAATAGAGGAGCTTTCACAAAGGAAGAAATCAGAAATTCAAGCAAAAAAAAGGTAAAATTCATCCTTGGAAAAGGGCCAGCACATAGTCCATATCCCATTAAATTTTACTCTAACAACTTCATTGAGTCTCATGTAATGTTGCGCCCGATGTCTGCTCCCAGGATGGATTTCTCATAGGATAATGGAATAAAGAATAAAAGCCAAAGAAAGCATTAAGAGCTGTAATATTTACAGGACATATAAAAAATATATTCTGCCTAGACATAAATAAAGTTTGAAGCAGCATCAGTAGATGCAGCTGCAGGTTAAGGTTTCTAATGAACCAACAGTTGTTTTTTTCATGTCCTAAACTTATCTGAGGAGGAGGCACTTGCTGTGCTCATGCTATTCTCTTAATACTTATTATTCCCGCTTTCGTATTCTCTTCTTCAGGTCTTGTACAACATATCAGGCATTATAACTTACCGCCCTAGAACACATCCCCTGTGTCTTCACAAAATAAAGCCGTGTTTACAAAAGACTAAAGATCACCTCCAACAGACAACTCAGGATCACCTGAGATTCAACTGCTACACAGTCTAACTTTTAGTTAAAAACCAATCTGAGAGAAGAGGGAATACTTTTTTCCACCAAATCCCATGGGTAGTTTCTGAAGGCAAATTCTAGTGTTCAGGTGTAAGAAGAAAACAAGAACCAGAAAATGCTAGTTTAGGGAAACAGAATCTTTTCTATATTTTTTACAGAAAAGGTTTTGTTTTAATAAAACTGATATATTCACAATCCATATCTTTTAATTTAAATTGATTTTTTTTGTAGCTGAGTGAGATGAAACTTTTAAAAGCCTCTCAGCTTTACCAATGGCGGTGTTTCATTTTACAACAGTTTGTAATTATCTGCTTACGCTAACATAACAAATGTGGTGCCTCCAGCAAAAAGCTAAAGTTGGTGAGAAAGAGAATGAAAAAGCACCTAAATGTTAGACTAGTCAGCAAGATTTTCAAGTTTGTTAAAATTAATACAAGCTATCATTAGAGTACTCTACAGTTCAGTGCTTCATAAATAGGAAAAACGAAGCAGTAATGTTTTTTGTAGCTTTCAGCCTGACTTTTATGGGGTTTCATCTCCCTCTAACAAATCAGGATGCAGAACAGCTCATAAAGCTTCCAGTATAGGCCAACAGTATAATAATTCACTGTGTGCATCCTGAGCCACTTACAACTTGAATGCATCCAGAATGATTGAAAAAATACATCCTAATTATATAAAATACAACAGCCAAGAGCAAAGAATTAACTCTCTCCTATAGGGTGAAGGTGGATAACTCTTCAAATACTTTGCCTGCTTCATTGACTGACCCAGTCTTGGCAGAGCAAAATAAAAAAGTTTCTTCACTTCTGTCTGCTAAGTCCCACAGAGTGAAGAACAGTAGGGTTCCTTCCAACTGGTGATTGATATTTTCTAAAAATGAAATAAAACATCAAAGTAAAACTTAATAATTTATGCAGCAAAAAGCATGGCAAAGTGGTTCACACTGAGTACTGAGGCTGCTTCAGAAAATGACATTGTGGAAGAATCAGTGCCAACTAACTTCAAATTTTGAAAGTTTATTCAAAATGAATGAGTGCATTACTTACCATATGATTTTATCAGGATAAAAGGTAATTCCCACAATGTTTTAAGTCATTCACAACCTTGATCACCTGCGGTGAAGCTTTCTGGGTGTGCCAAGAAATCAAAAGACTTGGGAATATCAAAGAGGGTAAAACAATTCTTTGGTAATACACTGAGTTACTCAAATATTATTTAAAGTACATTTGAAATTCTGAATGATTAATTTGTTCAGAGAATCATAGAGCATTTCTTAATAAAGGATATATGCAGGAAAGCATACACCTCTTACTCAGATGCCTATAGTGCAATCCTAGCTTATTACACTAATAAATATTTGACTGATCTGATTCACGAATATATGTAAAAAATAATGGAAAATTAGGCAAAAATAATTATCTGGCCCAATCCTAGTGGCAAACATAGTTTATGTCTTTGTATATAATCAAGAGCTATTAAAAGCCCCAATCCAGCTAGGGACTGTTGAACAGAGAAGGAAAATATTTAGCCTACATAGATCTGAAGGTATTTTAGGTTCTTCAGTGATTAAAGGGTTTGACAAAGAAATATATATGTAGAAAATCAAAAGCATATAGTCCTAAAGATGTTCATAAAAGTTTCAACATCCACATAATGTTTGTAATATGTAGTGTCCGGATACCAGGACTTCTTTTTTTTGAATGAAAAGTGCCAGATTCTAAAAAAAAGCAAGAGATGTTTCTGGGTTTTTATGAAGTGCTAGAAGTAGCCAGAAAAATGAGTGTCATCACCTTTTTATACATAAAACAAAATGTGTAGAAGGAGAAAAAGGATTCGTTTAATCCAAAATTAAATTTTTCAGTGGCGATCTGAGAACTCCCATGCAAGTCAGCAGCACTTCTCTGCTCTGGAACTGCGGCGATACCAGATCATTGCTTTTACCATGTTCAAAACCACTATTTCTAAAAAGCATAAATGAAAATAAATATTCTTTCTTTTCTTTCAGGTATGAAATATATGTTAGAGGAATTGCAACCATGAATGAGAAGTCAGCTGACTTTTACTGGCATTTTACAAGGTTGCAACAAAGTTGGAGAGAAACAACAACAGATCATTATCATTACATGTTATGAACAAATGCAATTGGGGAGGCTAATTATAGATAAATCAATTAACAAGAATTTATTAAGTAAGCGGTATTAAGCAAAAGAACAGCGCTGGGTGGCCGGGGAGCCTCTGCTCTGCCACGGCACACCTTCCCCCTTTGACCTTTTTGTTTTTATAGCCCCCCTTTTTTTTTCTGGTTGACGTATTTTCTCTTGCTGCCCTCTGCGCCAGTGCAATTGGTTGCTAGGGGGTCTTTTTTTCCTGCCCTTGGTGGTCATAGGAATGAAGGCTCCTCATCTTCCTTGCAGCAGATTGTCCTTGGCCTAAAAGTTAACTTGCATATAATTAATTACACAATCTTCTATGCTAGTTGCATTCCCTACTCAGTTCAAATTCTTATCTCCTTTAACACTCATTTTGATGAACAAAGACCTTTTTATTTCTTACATTACATATCATTAACATATCATTACCCAGAGTTTTTCCAAGTGGGATCTTTTTCTCCTTTTCCATTACTTTAAGAAGAATTTTCCCATATGCTTTATGCATGTATTTTTATCCCTGCAAATATTCAGAGGCCAACTGGAAACAGAATCAATCTCAGAAAAACAGAGGCATCAAACAGAGTAACCAAAGTCCAGATAAGTGCTCCTGATTGGTAAATGTTTCACCCTGAATCAGTGACTCAAAATTTGTGCCACCTTCTGCTCAGCTGTGTGTTATGATGTAACTAGTCATCAAGAAGGAATTCCATAAATTCATGAAATAGCCACAAAACAGATTTTTAATAACAGTTTATAAGAACTGTGAGAGATTCTGCCAGCATATTCCTGTAAATATTTATAGTTCTCTGACAACAGATATGACAGAGATTCAAGGGTGCAACTTGTAAGATAAAGTCCTGGCTGAGGATGATGGTAGGGCCCATGAGTTTAACTTGATACTCAATTTGGACTTACTAGTATGGAATTCATTCTTCTCTAGACTGTAGGACAAAGGTAAGTGGCAGACAGAAATCTGTGAGGCACGAAGTTTAACAGTGAAAAAAAAAAAAAGAATAATAGGCTAATAAAGAATGCCATTTCTACTATAAGAAGTCCATTTGGTTTCAGCTTTAGACACAAGCTATTTTAGGCTCTCTAGTGATGCAAGGATTTAACAGACAATGAAATATATATTAAAAAACTCAAAGCAAATATGTGTAAAAAATATATTTCATTCATCAGTATTCTTTAATCTTGATGAGGATTATGGAAAGGATTTACAATTTGAAATTTAACATCACATTGCCTTATAAAACCCCTGATTTTTGCCTTGGTTTTTATAAGTAATTCTTAAAGAACCTCACAACAGCAATCACTCCCAAGTTTTCTGATTTTATATCAAAACAAAACTGGAAACTTCTGCTCGACTTCAAACTGTCTCATCAATGGTTTCTCAGGGTCTGGTCTCTGCACTGCTGCTTCTTGCTGACAGCCTGCCAGGAGCCATGGCTTCCTGCCACCAAAGTCCCACCTGCACCAGGAGTGTCCCTCTCCTCCACAGGCAGAGCCTTCGAAGGGGAAAACCTTGTCTAGACACCAGTCCTGGGCGTGTCCCTCTGGCCACTGCTTGGCCACAGCCCCTGAAATGCAAGCCTTGTTTTGACAGGGTGCTGAAATCTGCATGAAAACGTGCCCTGGTTATGGTTTGAAGGTTAAAGCTGAAGCATTTCTTCCAGCACAGAAATGCCAAGTGCCTCGTGAAGGGAAGGCAATTGCTGACGGGAGTTTTTGTGGAGTGCCATCTTCTCCGACTGTCAGGCACTGGCTTTATTCACAAATCTGTGAATGTCTAGGAATGCTACAGGCAAAAATCCTTCCCCTGTGATGCATCTCCAGCATGTTCTTCTCCGGAGCTTTAAAACCTAGGCCTTACAGTCTTTTCTCATTAATTCGGAGTAGCAGAGCACACAGGGGGAATTCAGTTTATCTATTTTGTCACTGCCCAATAAATGAAATTCACAGAAAAAAACATCACAGAGCCCAATAGAAATCAATTCCACAAAATTTTTGGGTCAGTTTTGCCAAATTTGAATATTCTGTAAACTTAGGACAAAAAGCTGCCTCAACTTCATCTGACGTAATACAGCTTTAATGAATCTGACCCTCTAATTCTCAGCTCTCAAGGCCACCAGCTCTGGTGCAATGAACTGACACATTGTTTAGCATACATTTTTTAAATCTCATTTAATTTTATAGTAGGTTTTTTGTCTTAAAACCTTACACTTTTATTGAGCAATTAAGCTGCGCTCTCAGTCAGGGGGAAGAAATGCTCATAAAATAGAAATAAGCTAAGCAATAATTTCTAGACAGAAGTTGCACTTTTATTTCCACCATCATAATAGGAACAAGTATTTGCTTTGTAAAAGAAGATGCAGTCTTCTGAAGAGCTGAGAATGACAATTGATTTGTTTAATTTTTTTTCCTTAAGTGAGATGAAGGTTAGAATTCTTGGAATAACAAACTGCTTCTGGCATACTGGCCTTATCAGATCAGTCAAATAAAGTGAACAATAATTGTTGGAATATTTTTCTATGACCATTTGGATGACTGATGGCTGTTTTCAATACATCACATAATGAATTTTTTTCCAGAAAGCGCATTTGTTTTAACACAAACATTTTAAAAGTAACCTTGTTGCTGCCATCAAACTAGTAAAATCCTGTATCTGTTGTAAACAGTTCTGATTTTAAAGCAAGATGACTAGAGACCTCTTTGTGATGGTTCAATGACTGCCAGTGAATTTTTTACATAAGGTTTCAAAACATAAAATATTTGGTGCAATAGCTCAGTATTGCTTCAACTATAATAATTACAAAATTAGGTTTTAACAAATGTGAATTTGAAGGAAATTGCTATTTATAAGACAGTATCAATGTTTTTTATTTTATCTCCATTCTTATTAAGTTGCTTTGGTAGCTTGTAAAATATATTTCTATCCACCATAAATAAGAAAGGAAAATTGTACACTTAAAATAATCACACAAAACTGCCTGA